TATAATCCTATATAATAAATAATAATAACTCCCAAGGTGGTTATTACCAATCACATAATTAAAAATGACCAAACAGTTAAACATGAGTCATTAAACAAACTCAAATTAAATTAAATCCAAGTCATGGATCCCACCCATAAGCCAAAGATGGTCCAATTATATACCAAAATAGACCTAACAATTTATCTGAAATCATAGTCCAAACACCCAAAACTCAAATTTCAAATTATGCTATAAATTAAACTAAACCCAATTAGTCTGCAATTTCTCATAAAATAAATACTCACCATCACCACCCTCCGTCACCATTTTCCACCATTGTATTCTATCGCCACTTGCCGCCACTTGTCATTTCTTACTCTTTTTTATATTTTTAAAATTTTTTAAACATTTTGTCAATTACCAAACGCGTTTGTAGTTTATGTTTTCCTAAAAATAAACAAAAAATAAACAAAAATCAGTTTATAAAATTTTTGTAAATATAAATTGAAAACGTAAACGTTACCAAACACACGAAAAATTCAAATATCTCATAAAAAATTTGAAATATGAAATTATTATTATAACATTACTCTACTAGTAAAACTAGGAACCCAATACATACCACATCAACTTAATCTCGCTTATTTCTCCAAATTTCATACTTGGTCAACTTCGTCACTTTTAATCTCATAATATTAAAGTTAGGAATTAAACCCAATAACACCCCTTTAATTACGAAGGATTTAAAATATTAACTAAAATAATTTAATTCATCAAATTAGTAAGTTCATTATATTCACCATCTTCTAAATTAATAACACTAACTTAACCTTGTCTGCCTCATCCCTCAAACATAACCATATTTCAACATAACCATTTTTCATGCCAACTTAAAGAGGTAATATTTTTCCCAAATTCTCTACCAATAACATTTTCACAACTTTTTCTAAAATTACCTAACCAACATGAAATTTACATCAAAAATTATAAAATATACCCAAGAGTAACATTTTCAAGATTATGAGTTCGAAAATCCACATTTCAAATTTTTATTTTCACAAAAATGAACACAACTAAATCATCAATATATCATCTTTCATAAAATATCATGAATGTAACACTTTTAGAGTTTTTAATTCCAAAACAACTCTATAATTCCAACTTAAGCATTTACTCAATATTCATCAACATTAATTTATTTTTCTCAAAAATAAATTCCAAATCAAAGACGAAAAACAAATATTTCAACTTTATATTTTTCAAGTTAAATTTTCTAATCATAATATGATGTAGACACAACCCATACAACTTTTAAATTTTATTTTTGAATTTTTTTACAAAATTATCAACACAAAATGATTCTCCCAAATCAATCTCAAAATGCCAATATTCTTAACATTTCAATATAATTTTTCTTTCAAAAATGACCAAACAAAAATCTGAAAATATATATATATATATATATGCAATACCTTTTAAAATGACATATTTTCTCAAAATAATCTTAACATAGCTTTAAAATAATAATATGAAGAAAGTCCCTACCTCAAATATGAAGAAAAGCAAATCCAAAAATGCAAACATCGCCCGATCATGGATCCGAGACCACCATTGCAAAGATCACGACGAGTTCTCCGACTTTCATTTACAACGCTTTTGTAAAATCTCACTTTAAAGACTCACACTTTAAGCTTGAAGCTTAAGCAAAAATGGAGAAAAGAGAAAGGGAGAGAGGGAGGGAGGGAGGGAGAGAGAGAGAGGCACAAATGGGTCTGCCAACCCAACCAAAGAAATGAAATGAAAATGAAAATGAAAAGGAAGGGAAAAATGGTAAGGACAAAAAGGGGGCAGGCAATCCCACGTGGGTTTGGCTTCCCAATGTTTGGGTTTTTAAAAAAAAAAAAAAAAATACAATATAGTTTTTGTTATAATATTTCTAAATTTTATAATATAAATTATAAAATGATATAATTTTTTTCTCACCACAAAATATAACATTTTTGCACACTACAAAATATAATTTTTTGCTCACTATGAAATATACACCCATTTTATTCATTATAAAAATATATATTTTTTCACCATATGATACACATCATAAAATCAACTATAAAATATTTATTATAATCATATATAATAAATAATAACAACTCTCAAGGTGGTTACAACCAATCATATAATTAAAAAGGACCAAACAGTTAAACATGAATCATAAACAAATTCAAATTAAATAGAATCTAAGTCATGGGTCTCACCCATAAGCCAAACATGGTCCAATTATATACCAAAATAGACTCAACAAATTTATCTCAAATCATGGTCCAAACACACAACACTCAATTTCAAATTCTGCTATAAATTAAACTAAACACTAATCAGTCCGCGAATTTTCATAAAATAAATACTCACCATTAAATTCCAAAATTCTTATCCAACATGCTAGACTCTTATAAGAACAACATAATAAAATTTTCATAATTTTTAAGATCGAAATTTTATATTTAAAAAAAAAGTTTATTACAAAATTGAATCATTTTCACACATAACTTTACACAACACTCCAATTCAAATATTACTCAATTAATTTATACATTGACTATTTAAAACACACACACACACACACACACACACACATATATATATATATATATATATATTGCGTAAATCTGGTATATACTATCTTCCATCACAAATCAAGATAATTCTAATGGAAGTCACTCCGATTTCCCGATCGGATCCAATTCTGCCAAGGTGTACCATGTTAATTGTCATTCAACAAGAGTTTTCTCCATTCAAGTAAATGAAACAGAAAGTTTAATTTCACTAATCCACAATCACAGCCACCCAAATGGCATTTTCCTTCTCACCAAGCTGCAGTAATGCGCATTCCTTGACTCTAATCCTCATTAATCAACTAGAACTTCCATTTACTAACATGTAGTACATACCCTTATATCTTCAAAAGCATAAAACAATGCTCAAAACTCCCAAAACAATCGACTTGGCAAGCACAAAAATTGAAGCTTTCCTAAACCACAACATTCAATTGCGGCAACACGGAATCAACAAAATCTTTTTACCTTGCTAATTCCAATCAGTACACAATGAAAAGACGCAAGTTTTGTGCAGAGCATAACAAAAGATAATTCTCAAACGCTACTCAAGTATTCCAAATCAAAATCCAAAAACCCTAAACTACCAATCCCACAGTACAATTTCGACTCAAAATCAAACCAATAAATAGCGAGCGTATGAGAACAATACCTTGGTAGAATTGGATCCAATCAGGAATCAGAGTGCCTCTTATTATAATTATCTTAATTGTCGTAGTCCTTGTACTAGCAAAGAATGTCATTGATGGTAGCGAAATCAAACCCTTTCGAAGCAAAGTTCTTACGACCCGATGATCCCGAAGCCATGCTCAAAGTTTGAAAATGCGATCTTTGATCGAAGCATAGAGAGAGTGAAAAGCTAGGGTTTGTAAAGACAACGATAGAGAAAAAGAAGAAAGGTTCGTTTTGATCAATGCACCAATTAGTATACCAACTTATATTATGATATTATTATTAATTTCACCTATCATATAAATTATAAATATTCAAAATTTTTAAATACATGTCACGTCATCTGTTAATACAATAATTAATATATCAATTAGTACATATAGTGTTATTCTAACTAGAAGTCTGAATGAATGAAAGAGGAGAGAGAGTTTCATTTCATATACTAATAATTAGGGTTTGGTTTTGGTCCAGTCCGCTATTAGACTGGACCGTGCTGTCGGATTTGTGGGGATTTACCACAGGTTCCGTTTTGAAAATCTGAACTGTTCAATGTGTAGAACTCATTGAGTACTACATGCCTGTGAAAAATCACGTTGATCGGATATCGATAGCTATGTGATCAAATCAGTTTTGTATAAAAAAAAATGGACGGTGAATAAATTAATGGTTGATAAAAACTGTTTTGATCACATAGCTATCGATATCCGATCAATGTAATTTTTCACAGGCATATAATACTCGACGAGTTCTACACATTAAACGGTTCAGATTTTCAAAACGAGACCTGTGGTAGGCTCACATGGGCCCAACAGTACGGTCCAGTCCGTTGGTGGACTGGACCAAAGCCAGGCCCTAATAATTATACCAATGTGAACCTTTTTTATATAAAAAAATGGATTGTGAATAGGAGAAGATTGCCATGTCTCCGAGTTAAATGAGGGATTTGTTGGAAATTGTTAGCTTTCTTTTTTAAATTTTTTTTTTAAAAAAAAAATTAGATTCAGCTTGTTTGGTTTTTCTTTTCAAAATTTATTTTTTAGAAAATTAAATTTTTTTATTTTTCATGTTTTTTTTTTTTGTTTCCACTGAATTTTTTTTAATATTTTAAGAATTTTTTTTAATTTATAGATATACCTAACATAAATATAATTAAAAAGTATAATATTTGTGAAAAAAATATTAAAAACATTCACTAAATACTAAAAAAAAAAAACGAAAATTCAATACATTTTCGTATTATTGTGTATTTATTAATTTGTAAAATTATTTTTTACAAATATTTTAGTTTTTAGATATATCTAAGTATAGTTCATCTAAAATAGTAAAAAAAAATAATACTTAAAATTTTAAAAATATTCACTAAAAATAAAAAACTTGAAGAAAAAAAAAACTCAATTTTTAGAAAATTGGATCTAGAAAATTAAAACCAAACACAATAATTGAAATTTTCTTTTTTGAAGAAGTTTTCACGACATGCTAATGCATGCTGTGTAAAGTAATAATATTTTACAACATGAAATGTGTGTCGTCTTAAGTGCAAATATTTTATGACTGATTTTTGTAAGCCATAAAATATACATTTTTTACGGCATACTTTTGCATGCTATAAATATATGAATTAACGACTTACATGATATTTATGCTGTTATTAACAAAGCATTAATAGCTTGCACAAAACAAAAAAAAAAAAATGTCATAGAATGTGCTAATTACGACGTGTATTCGATGTATGCCATAAATGGTTAGTTTTGTTGTAGTGAAGGTTGAAGAAATCCATACCTCAAAATTAGAAGACAAGAGAGCAAAGGTTGAAGTTGCGCGGAGTCAAAAATGAACTTCGCTTCGATTAGAACGAAGTCGTCAATGAACTCTACCCTTTTCTCCAAAGGACAAGGGTGGAGAAATTAATGGATGATGGAGTATTTGAGGCTTGAAACCAAGAACTAGAGAGAGAATGTCTAAATTTAGGGTTTTGAAATATTTAGAAACAAAAAGAGAGATGAAAAAGTGATTCAAAAGTCACTTTTCCGAATTGATATATGCACGGACCACTCGAGTGACCAAAACATCGCTCGAGTGAACTGACACAATAAATGACGCCACTCGAACACACAATGACACCCTCCCAGAAGTGTTGTAGACAAAAACAGACCGCTCGAGCATAAGAATGACCGCTCAAAATACCGCTCGAGCAAAGAACACCACTCCCAGAAGTTTTGCAGACCTGCAAAAATACTGGGAGATCTCAAAGACCACTTGAGCACAAGAAAGACCGCTCGAGCGAACATACCAAAATCTGGGCAACAATTTTTTCAAAAACTAACTCCCAACCTGTTCCAAACGTAGCCACAATACCCAAACAACTAAACTCAACAAGGAGTAAGATGAATGAGGACATGAATAACCATTCAAGACAAGAAATCCCGGATCCAAAACAATAAACGAGTCGGGTCTAAATCAAAATTGTTATAACCTCCCATCCTTAATGAATTTCGTCCCTAAAATTTTAAATTAATTCAACAACCATAGTATTTAAATCAATTATTATAATTTTAACTAATTCAACTCATAACCATGATCCATCCACCAGTTATCTATTCTCATAACAATGATGAACAAAGTTTTTCAATATTACAATTTACTTTCCAAAATATATACAATGCTTACATATTACAACATGAATAAGATTTTCATTACAAGTTTCAAACATTAATAAATAGATCCAAATACTTCTCACGAACTTCCACCTTACGCTCCCAAGTCGCCTTCTCAACACTATGGTGTCTCTATAACACCTTAACTAATGGGATTGTTTTGCCTCTGAAAACTTGATCCCGAGTATCTATGATTCTAATCGGTCTCTTCTCATATAAGGCATCCTCATTGTCACGACTCGAACCCGCCTCTATGGGTTAAGGCCATAACCGGCCAGTAATCACGAGATTACCTACGGCCTCAAATCAAACCAGACAAAACTCATCAGAGTAAAGGGGCCAAACGGAAGCAAATTTAAAACTTTGTCCATAGAGCTGTGCTTATATACACATCATAACATTCCATGCATACATATGTTAATAACTCACAACAGAAAGTATAGTAACATAAAGTTCTATACAGACAGGATCATTCATATCTAAGTCAGCCAAAACAAAGCTATATACAGTCGTACACCAAAGTCCTCGCCAACATGACAAAATAACATAGAATGGCAGAAGGGCGAAGATGTGTCTCATGCGTAAGACGCAAGGGCTGACTCGTCAAAACCTTAGTTGTTCCATACAGACTTCACTGGGACTGGGTTTGGACTTCTCTTGGCTTACCTACAAACACATGAATGAGCGTGAGCGAAAGCGAAAGCCCAGTGAATAATATCAAATAAAGAATACACATTGAAACAATATACACCAAACGGCCTTGGGTCCAATGTATATTTCTACTAATACATACATACATAGACATATGTAAGTTAAGTAACTGCGGTTCCAAACAC